CTGGAAGTGGCTTTGGAAAATTAAAGTACCTCTTAAATGGTCTTTGTTTTTGTGAAAATGTCTTCATAATATTATTCCAGTTAGATATAATTTAAAATGTCGGAATGTGATGAATGACGCTATATATGTCCCAGATGTCTGCAGAAGAAGAAGACGATCGAACATACGTTCTGTTGCGGATCTTGGGCACACCAGGGGACACTCACAAGCAAAAACACAAGACTTTTAACGTGGTTCGGCAAACCGGCCTACGTCCACGGGAGCGATGTTGTTATATATCAACAAATGGAGAAGATTACACACTCTCAACTCACTGTCTCTCTATATAACACACTCTCTCACACTCTCTGATTTGCTATGATGCCCTATATTTAACTCACCATCACCATTCCATTTTATACACTAAAACAGAAGGTGGAGGAGGCCTCATGGGTGTGTTGGCTACCAGCCCAATATTCTCCTTTGAGCTGCTGTCCAGTTGAAAGTTTTGTCCCACCATGTGAAGACTTCACATGGCCAACTCCATGCTTTCTCCTTTGCCTTCCTTTTACCATGTGGGTTGGCCACCCTTCCATGTGGCTGCCAACTTAATTTGGGTTGATCTCCTACACGTTCTTCAAATGTCCTGAGTCACATAGGATTTGGAGGGGAAGCCCTTTAGGATTGGACTTTTCAATTGGTGAGCTGATTTTATTTTCTATTTGGTTAGATACTTGGAGACAGCAACCGCAGGATATAGATTGCATTCGTCAACTTATCGCGGTGCTATGGGCCATTTGGAAGCAATGAAATAGCGCTGTATTTCAAGAGAATTCATTATCTTGTCAAGAAACCATTGCTCTAGCTAAGGAATTGTTTCAATCCTTGGCTAGAAGGCGTGGAGAGCAAGAGACATGATTATCAGCTGGCAGAAATTAACAAGACATCCTCTTCACTAGGTTGTGAAATTACTCAATGCATTCTTGCATCTGATGATTATATTGATTTGATGCTTGTTTACAGGATTATCAAGTGCTTGTGGATGGTTCATGGCGCAAAGAATCCAACAATGCTGGAATAGTGTGGCTTTATTATCATGGGGATGGTGAACCAATAGCACAAAGAGCTTTCCAATTGCAACTTACATCAGCTTTTGCGGCAGAAGCGATGGCGTGTCAGCAGGCAATCCAATGGGCAAAAGAACAACAATTGCGCTGATTAAAATATATAGACTCAGGCCTCGTTTGTCAAGTAATGTTTTAAGTCAAAAAATCACTAAAAAAAATAAAAAAAAAATTAACAATTCATATTAAAAAATCAAAAATTCTCTTTTCTCTCTACTTTTTGTACATCTTTTCATAAAAAGTCAAAAAGTCACCCCAAGCATACTAATTTTTTTTTCATCACATTTTAACTAAAAAGTCAAAAAGTTACTAAAAAAGCTTGTTCTCAAACGAGCCTCAATTTTTGGTGGATGTATTATGTGAACGAGTCTCTCCTTTTTGGTTTTCAGGTTGTTAGAGCATCTGCATCAGTCTTAACAAATTTTGAGTCAAATTATAACTCAAAATCTACTTTTGTTATTTTAATTAGTCACTTTTTTAGTACTCACTTCATCAAACTCTCTATTCTAACTCAATCTTATTAAAATATTAATTTTTTATTGTATTTGTTATTCTTTATTTTTTTTATTAAATTGATGAGGTGCCATCCAAACAATTCTTAAAAAATACAAAGAATACAACCAAAAAAAAAAAAAATTTGCCGTTGACCAACCGATCGTCTGGTTAGACTAATTTTTGGCATTTTTTCTTCTTCTGCTACAGGTATTCACGGGACATCCGATGGGATATCCGGGTGGACAACCGGTTTAAAGATTTTGGTCTAGTTTTGCTCCAAAAAATATAATAAAAAAATCATGTAGCTAATGAACAGTGCCTCAACAAAGTTGTTGAGGTACTGTAACAAATTTAACGAAAGGTTAATTTACAAAAAAATTTTTAAGCCTGATGGAAAAACAATTTTGTGATTTATGTTTGGCAAGGGCTTTTTCAGGCTTTTTTGACTATTTTAGCCACAAAAAACAAAATAGGCTATTTTAGCCATAACAAACAAAACATCACATCCAACCTATAATCATTACATTCTTCTCTCACAAAAAAAGTCAAAAAAGCCAAAAAGCCCTTCCCAAACCAAGTTTTTTAGTCCAGGCTAAAATAGCCAAAAAAACCAAAAAGCCAAAAAGTCAACCCACTTCCCAAACGGAGGCTAACTATATTTTTCTTTTTTGTTATTTGATTATGCTGATGCGGATGTTCTAAACTAAGTATTTTGCCTATCTTTGTATATGTATGGTTAAGCGCCATGAGGTTAGATCTACGCATGATTTGGCACGGTTTGTAAATAATTTTTCTATTTAAGATAATGTTTGATGTTTGTCTATTTCTCAAAAAAAAAAAAAAAAAGTAAGTGCCAAAAAAATGGAAAAATTATAAAGTAGTTTAGAGAATCTTCAGTGGTGTGCCATATGACTTACTATTACTATATTTTGCCTTAAAGCTTCCAAATTTTTACTCCAATAGAAAGACATATGACTTGTTATATATTATCTATAGGTAAACATTGTGTCAAATATAGCACAAGTTCTACATATATCTAAAACCTTTGTATCTCTCTCTTTCTTCTAAGGATTCACATATAGCATTTTGATTTGACATTTTGTATGAAAAGTTAAAAATTTTACATATTGACTATGTTTAGCATAAACTTTTTGGACTAAAATAGTCACAAAAAAATAGATTAAAAAGTTAATAAGATAAAATGTTACATCCAAATTATAATTATTTCATTTTTTCTTTCACAAAAATCAAAAAAGTCAAAAAATTCATTCCAAACAAGACTTCTTAGTCCGAGGCTAAAATGACCAAAAACCTAAAAAAGTAAAAAGTCAACTCACATCCTAAACGAAAACATTGTATCATTGAAGTAAAATTGTTTAAATTAAATATTTTAATACTATTTATTGATAAATAATAGTAATAACTAATTCTTTACCTTTCTATCCATCAGAAATGCTTTAAAACGAAATAAAAACAATTACAAAATCTAGCAAGATTTCGTATTTAAGTCATTCAACACGATATTAGAAATTTGTACATTGATTAATTTCAAAATATTAAAAGTAACGATATGCACACAAACTTATCCACTTACCTGATTATTATAAAAATTTGAGATATAAGAGCATTCACATCAGTCTCTTCAAATTTTTAATCAAATTATAATTTAAAAAGTTTTTTTTATTATTTTAATTAGTCACTTTACTGCATCAAACTCTCTATTCTAACTCAATCCTATTAAAATATTTGTTATTCTTTTTTTTATTAAATTGATGAGCTGCCAGTCAAACAATTCTCATGTTCCTTTGTAAAGATAAAATTGAAAGGAAAAAAAAATTGTCGTTGACCGGCCGGATTTCCAACCGGACATCCGGTAACACATAAGTAGCGATGAACAGTACCTCGCTTGTTGTAGCGAGATACAGTGGCAATTACAAATTTTGACGAGCTTCAATCGAGACTGATGGACGTCTTTTTTGGAAGTTTATATAGCTAGTTTAGCTAAGAAACGATTTTACCGATGTTGATGCTATGCTCTAACACCACAATTTTTATTTTACAACCGTGCTCAAATTTATTTATATTTTCATATGTTTGTAAATATTTTCAAATTTTTACATGGAAATTAATTTTAAAAAATAAAATAAAATAAATCTAATAGAAAATATTAGGGATTTCAAATATTTTATCAACATTTTTACCAAATGTCACGTATGGATGTAAGATCCACACTATATAAGTCTCATGTGAATCTCACACCTATATGAGATATTTAGAACTCGTTTGGGATGTGGGTTGGCGTTTTAGTTTTTTGACTATTTTACTCTAGGGTTAAAAAGTTTCTTTTGTGATAGATTTTTTGACTTTTTTTAGAGAAAAAATAAAATAATTATGAGATATGACATTTTATCTTATTTGACTAAAATAACCTATTTTATTTTATATAATTATTTTAATCCAAATCTCCATCCCAAACAAACCCTTAACAAAATATTTATAAAATATTTAGCCTCCGTTTGGAAAGTGGGTTGGCTTTTTGACTTTTTGGCTTTTTTGGCTATTTTAGCCTGGGCTAAAAAGTTTGGTTTGGGAAGGGCTTTTTGGCTTTTTGACTTTTTTGACTTTTTTTGTGAGAGAAGAGCGTAATGATTATGGGTTGGATGTGATGTTTTGTTTTTGTGGCTAAAATAGTCTATTTTATCTTTTATGACTAAAATAGCCAAAAAAAATCTGGAAAATCCCTTCCCAAACGGACTTTAGAGTTCCTAAAATCTAATATTGTGTATCACACCTCACTTAAGCGCGTTCAACAGTTGTTTGTGTCCTCCGGGAGTGTGTGCATTGCATTCATTCCAGGGTAATTGTATAACGAGGTCGACCTCATGAATTTTTTCATGAACTCTTTGTATAAGCGAATTGTTTTCATTTTTTTAAATATATTTTCAAAAATAAAATTTGTAACTAATTTAAATTTTAAAATTTTATATTATTTTTATTTTCATGTAAAATATTTTTAAAATTTGAAAAATATTATAAATACAAAACAATTTGACTTCTCTTAAATTGATCGTCTTAACTTAGGAAGCGTTTGAATTTGATAGGTCTACTACATTAACTATTTTTAATACATATTGAATAAAATATTCATTCAAAAAATTAAGGTATCAACAATTATATATTTATATTATATTTATATTATAAAAAATAAATAACTATACTTTAAAATTATAATTGTCGTTATGGCCGTTAAATTGTGATGTCTGTTTGTCGACCAATACAATATACAGATTGTTTGTGATGTTTGCTTTCATAGTAATTGTTTGTCAGCAAAGGCAATTTTAGTATAAATTATGATCTGTGATGATTGTTTGCTTTTCCCGTCGTGTATGTGTGTATATATATACACGCACAGCACGACACATTCTCTGTCTCTCGGCTATCTTCTTCTCTCTCACTCCTCTCCTCCGTAACAGACTCTCTCTCTCTCTCCTTCTGCCATTTGTAACAGTTTTGCTAAATCTAGAGATCCTCCTCTACAATACACCAAAGCAAAGTTCACGCTGTCCGTGTTTTCAGGATCGATTGCTCTTTTAAGTTTGTTTACACTGAACATTTCTCCTGCTGCATATTTGCTTTATTTAGTGAAGATTCATCGCCAAAGTTAGGCTTCGATTCTACAACACATCTTCACACACACACACACACACGCAGAGATAGATAGATATAAATAGGTTGCTGTGGGAATGAGGTTGAACGAGGAAATTGGCTGCAAGGAGGAGGAGATTGAAGAAGAAGAAGAAGAAGGGATGGTGGCGCAGAAGTACTCGATCGGAGTCGGAGGCGGAGGAGGAGGAGGGTTTCCACAACCGATGAAAGTGGTTGTCGTTGGTTATGCTCTTACCTCCAAGAAGACTAAGAGCTTTTTGCAGCCCAAGCTTGAAGGTTTGGCTAGGTAATTTCATCGCCTTGGAGACGAATTGAGCGAAAAAAATTACAGAGATAATTCATTTTTTTGATAATTGTGAAAATAATCTGTTGTTTGTGTTTGTTCTTCGTGATTGTGCGGGAATATTCTGGGAAATGATTTTATTCTCTTTAGCCGCATATTTTGATTTGAAAAATGTAGAATATGGGCAAATTGATTTCGGATCGGTTTGCTTGATCAGAATCTTTGATTTCTTTCATTTCATTGGTTTGAATATTCTTCTTGCGGATATTTTTCTTGTTTTGTAACGTTTTGGAATTTATGACCACCATATCTAATCCAGTCATTGTCTCTGTTTTTAGTAATTCCAATCTTGATTTATTTCATTTCACAGGTTTGAATATTCTAGTGCAGATATTTTCTTGTGTTGTGGACAATAATGGAACATTTTGGAATTTATGTCAAAATTCCATATCCACCCATTGTGATTGGTTATGTATTATTTCACTCTCTCTAATTTCTTGGAAACCAAAGATAAGGAAAATTGATGTAGGGATAAATCAAAGTTTAAAATGTAAGGATCTAGCACCCAAAAAAAAAAAAAAAAAAGGAAATTTAGCCAAAACCCCTCCATTGGACCCTTATTTGGTGAAAAAGACAGCCCAGTTTAGCCAAAACCCCCTAAAGAGAAAACGCATAATTGAGGAAGGACAAAGTAAAATATTTTTTTTTTTCTTGGACAATATTGCCAAAATAACATGTTACTGTGAATCAGAGTAACATGTTATGTCGAATTACTGTTTACATCAATTTCGATAGTAATAATTTTTTTTTATATAAAAAATTTCATAGTCAACATGGATCTTATTTGTTAGATCTTGATGAGAGAAATCTAAAAATGTTAATTTTATTAAAAATCGACATTTACATCAAAAGTTATATTATTTTAAAATTTAATATTTTGATAATAATGGTATGTGTTGGACTTTCCAAAAAAAAACTTTTTATACTTGTTCTTAATACATTAAAGTTTTATTACGAGGGAGTTTTGACCAAATCTCTCAAAGAAAAAGTGTAAAATGTAAGAATTTGTACTTGGAACTTTTTGTTCTTTCATTTACTTTCTTGCTTGGATTGCTACCAAAGCTTCCCTTCGTTCTCAACTGCCAGAGGCTGGAGGCAAAGCCTTCAGGAGCGACCCTAGTTGTAAGCTTATTAATGAAAGGAGGTAGGTTCAGTATTCTCTCTCTACCGCCTCCATCCCATGTTCCTCCCGTGAGGGATAGAAGCCTTTTGACTGAACGCCTTTCTAATAATTAATAGAGATTGAGGAGATAGACACCCTATAATCTTTGTATATCTTGTTTTGGCTTGAACCTGTTGTTCCTGCAATTTTAATATAAATTGTGATGTCTGTTTGTCGACCAATACAATATACAGATTGTTTGTGATGTTTGCTTTCATAGTAATTGTTTGTCAGCAAAGGCAATTTTAGTATAAATTATGATCTGTGATGATTGTTTGCTTTTCCCTTGGTCGCTTGTTTGTGATCTGTCATTATATGTTTATTTTTCAAGGTACAAAATAATTACTATAAATATCTCAGATTTACTTGTCTAGCAGGCATATATTTTGATTATAAGTTGTTTTGGTGGAAGTTACTGAGTTCCTTGCGTTTGGTTGCTCTCAGTGTAATCGGACGCTAACCTTGAACTGACCCTTCAACTGACTAGGAGTGACTCTACTGTTAAGGAGATAAACGGAATTAGAGTTATTGCTTTCATCTTGGAAGTTGGAATGTGAGACGACAATAGAGGATCCCGCTTTTAGAGTTTAGGTACAGGCCCATAGATAGGATTCCGGTTCATTTGATTTGCTCTTGATTACAAGATGCTCAAAAGATAAGGCCAAGGAAACAGGCGAAACTCAACTATAAAGGGGAACAGTGGCCACTCGACCAATTATCATGAATGAAGTGAGGGAAGGAGTTTGGATTGGATCCCTCAGGAGAGAGACGGAAGGTATTAAGAAATGGAATCAGGTCTTTGACGATCCAGTATTAGCTAGCAAGTATATGGACTCATACTTTGATGACAACAATCTTGAGTTACTTGTTTGTCTCCTGCTGCTGCAAATGGCTTTGATCTATATTTTTGTTAATTTTGTAGATGAGGTGAACATGTATTGTCATGTTTTAGATATCACAGGGAAAATGGCAAGCATGAACGGTAGTTCAATATTTAAACAATATCATTGTATGGCATGCGAATACTGTTGCTTTGCCATCAATTATTGGCGATTAATTAGATAAAATTCTAAATTTATGTTAAGAAGATGGGGCCTCTGAAGTTTTATCATAATTGAAATTCAGGCCTCAGGGTTTTTAGGCGCATTCTTAATGGCAATTTCATTTTATCATCTTTTCGTGCATTCTTAATGCCAATAACATCTTTATTGAGCGATCCTACCCTTTCCTGTCATCCATAAGAAGCTCATTGTGTAGATGGTTGTGTACAATGCAGGAATAAGGGGATATTGTTTGTTGCTATTGACCAAAACAGGCCCCTTTCAGACCAAGGTCCTTTTGACATTGTTTTGCATAAGGTTAGTAGACATTTTTGTGTATGCAACTCTCTCCACCCTCCTCTTGTGTGTGTCCACATGCGTGCACATATGCTTATCAAACTCTACCATGGAGGGTTTCACATATCTCTCACTCTCTCTCTCTCGGACAGTCTTTCCCTCACACACACGTAGGCATGCATGCCTGTGCACTTGCTTGCATGCATGTATGCATATACATAATTCATTCGATGCATTAATGCTGCATCCATTGATAAATAATTTCTATTTTCTTTCTTATTTCTAATGCAGTTAACGGGAAAGGAGTGGCGGCAGATTCTTGAGGTTTGCCTTCTTAAACAGTGTTTTGTGTCTTTTTTTTTTTTTTTTTTAAATAATTTTTATCGAGATTCTGTAATTCACTTATTATTATGTCACTTTGTCATGTTAACATACAAGCTTGCAGTTAACATATGGTTACTGTGGGATCAAGCATGCATCAATTGTGATTGATGGGCTGCTAAATATATTAATGCTTAAACTTATTCATGTCTGACATAACTTGCAGAGCACTTGCTTTTTTCTCCATCTTGAATCATGACCTGATAATTGAGGTTGAAGCCATAAGATTCAAGCAAGTGAGGAGCTTTCTTTTACATCGAAATTTAGCTGATTTGTTCAGGTTTCTCCTAAGCATTTTCTTTGTAAAAGGTTCCTGGTCTTTTTAAACGTGTCTATTCTTCCAGGCTGCAGTGCTAGAGAGAGAGCCAACCTAACTTAGTTATCTTAGCATCCAGTATTCCTGATGCTTGCTACACCTATGCTATTGTTGGACCAGGGGCTCTGATTATTCTTTTTAATTATAAAGTGACAAGTTGATTGTTTATTTTTCTAAGACGCCTATTAGGATGCTGTATGCATATAAAGAGCTGGAGATTTTGTAGGAAAAAAACCATCTTATCTTTCTACATACAAAATGGTATTTAACTTCATATTTATGTTTTTTACAATGTTGTTGGAATTATTTTGTCATGAATTATTATAACGACGAATATTGACAACAACTGAAAATTTCTCATTCTGAATATTGTAATTCCTATTTATTTATTTATTTGTTTTTTTAAAAAAGTATATTATTATTCTTGGATTGTTTTGGATGAATTAAATGAAGATACCTCTTTCTTTGTTGTAGACTAATAAACATGCTTGAATAGGTTTTAATTTATAATTTTCTCATAGTCATTAACTATTCCTTTGCAATTATAACTTGACTCGTTTGATCTGTATTTGGGAAAATGTTTGATTTTATAGATTTTATTCAATAAACACACTGGGTTGTTTTGTTGGGCTTTTTAAATAGTTATGTTACTTGTGTACGAACTATAGTGAGTTTGATTAATATGCTCTTTCTAGGAGTTTTATATGATCAATACCTTGTTAGTAATGTTAATTTTCATGGTTTAGTATCAGCATGATATAGAATATGTTTCTCTGTTGATGTTTTGCGACAAACAAGTAGTTTCAGCATGATATAAAATACGTTTCTCAGTTGATGAAAAGCCACCCAATGAGTGGTAAATAGCATTTGCTTCTCTTCTGTAATTGTGTTGCACAAAACGTAATGGAGGGATGGGAGGGTAGAAAACTTATGGCAATCAAATGCTTGTGTGTGTTACAATGTGTGCATGAATTACGAATGGATAGATTTTGTGATTATCTTCTCTCTTGCATACGTATGTTTGGCCTACAATCCGTCTATCTTGACTTGTTTGTTTGCAGATAAAGCATGATATACTCGTTGTAGTGTGATGTCCATTTTCTTGCTTCCTATATACTTCATGATGCATATGAGATGTGTCTTTTTCTATGACCTTGGGAAAATATTAGTTGCATGCCAAAAATTGTGTTTTAAAGATCAACAGGGGAATCCTAGTATAGGGTGTTATATTGTACTCTAGTTTTCCATAATTTTTCCTTAACACCATTATTATGTACAATTAGGGAATCTATTCCAATTTGTGTTCATTTTACTATTAAAAATAAAGGGTAAATTACACCAACACCCTCTCAGGTTTTTGACAATTATGAAGACACTCTTCCCCTTGCAAGTTTCTGAAATTACAGTTTCACCCTCTCATAAATCTACACGAAAAAACCACTACCCCACCACCACCATCATCTCTGCTGCCAATTCCAACCCACCCACACCACCACTAAACCTCTCTCCACCTAAATTGATGCCACCAGTCCACCCATGTCGCCATCATTGAACTCCATCCATCTCCACCACTATGAAACCCCTTGCCCCCCAAATTGACACCACCAATCCATCCACCCACAATACCTCAAAACCCCATATAGCAAGTAATTGAGACAAAGGCATATTGAGATGAGTTGATTTATCTATGAAGATTATGGTTTTGTTTCTTCAAATTGAGGTCATCTGTCAAGCATTTTTTTTATACAAACCTGCATGCGTGATATTCATGATACTGATCTTATTCCTTTTTGCCTTCATTTGCAGGATTACCGAAGAGCACATCCAGAAGTTACAGTTCTTGATCCACCAGATGCCATACAGCATGTACACAATCGCCAGTCCATGCTTCAGGATGTTGCTGATCTAAATTTGTGTGATGCATATGGTAATTTTTGCACTACTTTGGTCTACAATATGGACTGTGGAGAATAGCTGTCCTTATCTTCTTTTAGCAGCATATGTTGAACATCATTAATGGTTATGACTCATGATTGACTATTGCACAGGTACTGTTGGTGTTCCGAGGCAGTTAGTTATCAAAAAAGACCCATCATCTATCCCTGATGCAGTTAACAGAGCTGGATTGATGCTACCTCTTGGTGTGTTTGCATTCCAATATTGCAAACTTATTGGTGGACTTTTTTTCTAGCAACCTAACACTTGAACTTGCATACTTCTCTCTGTTTCAGTTGCAAAGCCTTTGGTTGTCGATGGAAGTGCAAAGTCACATGAATTGTCACTAGCATATGATCAATACTCCCTCCAGATACTTGAACCTCCACTTGTTCTACAGGAGTTTGTTAACCATGGAGGTGTTCTCTTCAAGGTTTACATCGTTGGGGAAGCTATTAAGGTTGTCAGGCGCTTCTCTTTACCTGATGTTAGTAAACGTGAGCTATCAACAAATACTGGGGTATTCCGCTTTCCAAGGGTTTCTTGTGCTGCAGCATCTGCTGATGATGCAGATCTGGACCCCATGGTTGCTGGTAAGCTCATGCTTGCTGAGAAAACTGACCCTCTTTGTTGTGTGTATGTTCTTGTGAAATGAGTGCATGTGTGCCATATTAGTTAGGGTTGGGTTGGGTCCTCAAGCCACTTCACCTCCTTATAGAGCTGCAGGTTTTACAAAGTTCTGCTAAAACTGTTTTTTTATGGTACGATGTGACTTCCTTGAAGGCTTCAACATCTAGACAGTACACCCTCCTACCTTGAGGTCTTGAGAACTTGTGTTTGGGCATGGCTTTTATATCTTGAAAAGGGCCTCTTACCAGATTAGTTTTTCTTTTTAACTGCAGAGCTTCCTCCACGACCTTTGCTTGAGAGACTTGCCAGGGAACTTCGTCGGCGACTGGTATCTTTCAACATCCATCTCTCCTAATTCTGCAGTGGCATTCAGTTGAAGAATTTTAGGGATATATTTATACATTAATCTTTTTGTCATAATTCATAATACTTGTATGTACTCTCTTTGTTTCTCTTTTTGTAGGGCCTTCGGCTATTCAACTTGGATATTATTAGAGAGCATGGGACCCAAGACCGTTTCTATGTCATCGACATCAATTATTTCCCTGGTAAGCAATAATCCACTTTACATGCTTTTTCCATTTTATGATGATTGATCACTGCTTTTATCTAGGTATAACTACTACAAATTCCACTTAGAAGTATGATCTCATGACAGTATTTCGCCCTTGTAGTTCATTGAGAATGCAAACTTTCATGTTACAGAAAACCTGATTTTTGCATTTAAACCTTTGTCCACAAAACTATACATAGCTAGGGCAGCTTGGCTCATTTGCAACTCGTTAAATTATATATTTGAGCTCCCTCTAATAAAGGAACTTATATTGGTTGTCTGCTATGTTGCAGGGTATGGGAAAATGCCAGGATATGAGCACATATTTACAGATTTCCTCCTGAACCTGGTGCAAAGCAAGTACAATAAACGCTCCACTAAACCTGTTGAAGAGCCTCTGCGATAGAAAAAGAGGCATGCTAACTTAGTAATATATCATATATGATACATCATGCTGACAAGTACATGCAGGAAAGCATCTAGCTCATATTTGGAATGTATAGTCACGCAGTTCCTGCATCTACTCCTAGCAATCGTAGTGGATGTGGATGCAAATGTGCACCAAGTCAATGTCCATCGCTCGCTACTATTGGTTTCATTAGCTGGCTGTTTCTCCAGAATCATCACCCATCCTTGAACAGTTCCTAGTCAATAACTTTTGCTCCTAGTCTCGTGTTTTTTATTCTGAATTTGTTTGTCAATTTTTTGCTTTGTTTGTGGTTTTCCTGTCGTGTTTGTTGTGAATTCACACAACCCCATTGTGCTGCAGAGATTTCATTGCGACTTGTAATGCATGGGAGTGCAAGACGCCTTGTACATTCATTAGAGCTTAGCAGCAACCATTATACATATTTTTGCAATCTGGATGGTGTCACTGCCTATGGTTTGTTACTACTTGAATTAAAAGGATGTTTTATGGTGGTGCAAGCAGGTCTTTGAGATGCCCAATTTATGTTTCTTGTGAGTAAGCTCCAATTTATGTGGCAAATGAGCTGCAAACAAATTATGAAACGGATGAGTTTCTAAATACACTCCATATATGCTAGTTGCAGAGAAATTTTTTTATTTGCTGTGTTCACTGATCTCGGTAGCACCTATCCCGTTGGATGCCCAACTAGATCAGTGCTATTGGGCCTCAATAAGTCCCATCTTGGTGATCCGAACAATTCATCCAATAGAGTCGCTGAGCTTATTCGATTCGTTTAGTTGCATAATGTTTCGTTGGACAAAGCCTCAAACATTTACATATGATCTTTTATGTCTTCATGCAGTGCGCTGTCACCTTCTTCTCCGGTCTCGACAAGCACTACTCCCCTCTCGCTACTGCCTTCAAACTCAAATGCAGTGTTTCACTTTTTTGTTTTTCATATATTTTTTTTTCATTAAAAAAATTAGATTTTAAATACACTTAATTTAAATATACTTAAAAATAAAATATTTCTAAAAAAGTGACACATTTCTATTTGATTGTTTTGTTAGTGATTTTTGTGCATTTAAAAAATGACAAAACATGAAAAAAAATGAAAAAATTAAAAATAATTTTCCAAAATTAAACCAAACCAAATGTATTTGATAACACCATAGGCTAGCCATTCTCGAACCAAACATAGAGGACACAGACATTCTTCTACTTATTCGTTTGGACCTCACAATTGGTTCGGTTTAATTTACCATTTTTCAGTTTGAGAAGGGCTGTGCTTTTCAATGCGCTTTGTGAAAGGGGCTGAACCAATCCAGTTGGAACCATTTGGGCACCAAGGATACTCTAGAGTTTTTTTTTTCAAAAGTGGTGTATTGTATAGGTGAGATTTAATGCTAAAAAATTGATGTGACTTGTCATTAAATCTCAACCATACAACACACCACTTTTAGAAATTTTAGGAAAAAAAAACTCCAGATGATCCTTTCTCCCATTTGGGTATGAGCAATGCTGGAAATTTTTAACAATTTTGGTGTTGTTTGGCAACGGTTTTTTGACTAAAAAAAAGCATAAAAAACAAAATATATTAAATAAGTTAATAAAATAAAATGTCACATCTAAATCATAATCGTTTTACTCTTTTTTTTACAAAAATCAAAAAAGTTAAACTAAACAAATTTTTAGTCTTAAGTTAAAATAGCAAAAAAATTAAAAAAAACTAACTAACAAAATCAATTGCCAAACGACAACTTATAAAATTTATTTAAAATTTTACACAACACTCCCATGTAAGTAGCGTATAACATTTTTTTTTATTATAAATTTTCTAAAATCTCTATTTACTTATACACGATATAGTATTATACATTACAAATGTTGGGATGTGTATTACTAACCACCCCATGGTTATCACATACAACAATAATGAGCATATTATCCTATGATTTTATTTACCATGTAATGCATCATTGTTGCATAATTTTATAATTGTAGCACTACTCTATTACATATTTTATATACTATTGGAAATAGGATCATTTGTATTTAATGATAATGGAGTGATCTAGGTATGACTTATTTAATAGTTTTTTAATTATTTTTATGAAAGTAATACAAAAAAATAAAAAAATAATATGATAATTTATAAAAAAAAAAAAATCAATAAACACTTATTTATGTAGTTTCTAAACCACCTCTATATTTTATCAAAAATATTAAAGATCGCAAAAATTTTATCAAAATTTTTACTAAATATTTTACACAAATATAAAACTCACATGACATAAATTTTACATCTATATTAAACATCTTATAAAAATTTTAATACCACTTTTGATGACTCTTACGTTACTCATATTTTATTATAACCAAAGCATAGTACTACTCTATTGTATACTCTATATATATAAAAATATTTTTTGAGTTCATCTGAGAATTACTGTGGGCTGCACATGCACTGCATCATTCACATGAGTCATCTGAACAATCCTGACCAACCACGTGTCACTACATGCAACCGTTATCCTTCGCCGCAATCTTACATCCTTTGAATTTTCATTGACTTTCCACGCCGATCATCAAACCAGTAATGTAATGTGTATGGTATGAGCTGCAATATATTTGATAAAAATATTAGGAATTGTTTGAAATAATCTAAATAAGTATATTTTTTATCTTTTTATAAAAAAAGTGTAAAAAATAAAAAGATAATGTGATAAAAAAAAGATAAAAATATAAATTATTTTAAGAATACCAAACTTTACCATAGTAAAATATTTAAAAAGGTTATCATTTTCCCTCATCAAACTCCTAATCTCATCATAAACACTTTAACTCCAATCAAACGGTCCAAATTCATTGGACCCACCTAACTCCCACCTCTAACCAGTATGGACAAACCACGTGTAACAAACAGAGAGAAGGGCAATTTGGTCAATAAAAAACGTGGACCCTACTGAGATACCGTCAGCCTCGGTCCGACTGGCAATTAACGACAGCCTGTTCACAGCTGTAGTCCAACCACACCAGTTTTCTTCCAAATTATAATATAGAGAGAGAAACGCACATCATCATCATCTATTACTATCATACACCGCTAGATAATATATAGAGAGAGAGAGACACACAGTTTCCAATTACCCTAAAAAAGACCTCATATAGAGAGGGATAGAGTCAGAGTCTCTAGAGTAGTAGTGGTAGCAGCAGAGAATGGTTGAGCCAGTGCGCATTGCGCACCACTTCATCCCTTGAATTGAAACTCACTCACTGCGCTCTCTCACACATTCTATATCTTTCTTCTCTACAATCGTTCTGATCGGAGGTGCAACAACTATGGATCCTTGTCCTTTCGTGCGCTTGACTGTAGGCAATCTCGCCCTCAAGATTCCTGTGGCGTCCAAGCCCGCTCGCTCCGTCGTGCACCCCTCGTCTGCGCCGTGTTTCTGTAAGATCAAGCTCAAGAACTTCCCTCTCCAGACTTCCGTTGTACCTTGTTTCCCGCCGGAGAGTCAGTTTCCCGACGGCCAGGTTCAGGTCCCGGCGGCGACCTTTCACTTGAGCAAGTTTGATCTCGAAAAACTCGCCGGAAAGTCTCTCTTCGCCGGGAAGCTTTACCTGAAAATATCGATTTATACAGGGCGTAGGGGAACTACATGTGGTGTCAACTCCGGGAGGCTGTTGGGGAAGGTGTTGCTGCCGCTGGATCTGGCGGGAACGGAATCTAGGGTTTCTGTGTTCCAGAACGGTTGGATTGCGGTAGGGAAGGATGCGAAAGGCTCGAGCGCGCAGTTTCATATCAATGTCAAGGCGGAGCCTGATCCGAGATTCGTGTTTCAGTTCGACGGTGAGCCTGAGTGCAGTCCTCAAGTGTTTCAGATCCAAGGCAACATTCGCCAACCGGTGTTCACTTGCAAGTTCAGCTTTAGAAGCAACACCGACCGAAATCAGAGGTCAGTCTTGTTCCCAGTTTCATTTCTTCTCCCCCAACCCCCCTCCCCCTCTGAAATCGTAGATTATTATGTTTAATACCTGTTTCCTTCGAATTTTCCCGGGAAACAAACGCATCAAACGTAGACACTTTAAAATGAGAAAAAAAAATAATTATGACAAATCTTACTCGAATTATATACGCCAAAGTTATTTTTTTACATTTTGATATTTTAAACTAGAAGATTTACCTTTTATCTTCGTAGCGACAAATAAAAGGTAAAAGTAGAGTCTTATCATTTGAATTCGTGAAACATACTCTGTTCATACAAAGCTAGATCCAAAACGACTTTCGCTTTTAAATTTCTTTGATTAAAGTTATAGATCAGATCCGTAAAAACAAACATTTCGATTCTAAAGTTAAAAACGGCTCTTCAATTGTACTCTGAATTTTTATTCTATGCTTCCCTAGCATTGAATGTAGTTTAATTGTTACTTGCTTGTGATAAATTAGTTTGTTCTAATCTTTCCACATTTTTTGGTCTACACTAGATCGTTGCAGTCCGAACCGGCCTGTTCAAGGGGGTGGTTGAGTTCGTTCGGAAGCGAGAGAGAGAGGCCATTAAAGGAGCGAAAAGGTTGGTCAATAATAGTCCACGACCTCTCCGGTTCACCAGTCGCGGCAGCTTCAATGGTAACCCCATTCGTAGCCTCACCCGGTTCAGACCGGGTCAGCCGGTCCAACCCAGGCTGCTGGCTTATCCTCCGCCCAAGCGACAACACCTGGAAGCCCTGGGGCCGTCTCGAAGCCTGGCGGGAGCGCGGCGCCAACGACGGCCTTGGCTACCGCTTCGAGCTCGTCCAGGACGGCGCCGCCGCCGGAATCGTCCTCGCCGAATCAACCCTGAGCTCCAGTAAAGGCGGCAAGATGGTCATTGACCTCGGCGGCGGCGCGGCTTCGTCGTCGCCGGCGGGGAGCCCCAAGGGAAGTGGGGACTTCGGGTACGGGCTGTGGCCGTACTGCATGTACAGAGGGTTCGTGATGGCGGCTAACGTGGAAGGGGAGGGAAGCAAGTGCAGTAAACCCACGGTGGAAGTTAGTGTGCAGCACGTGAACTGCACAGAAGATGCGGCCGCATTCGTGGCATTGTCAGCGGCCGTTGATCTTAGCATGGACGCTTGCAGGCTTTTCTCTCAAAAGCTTCGGAAAGAACTGTGCCAAGCCACATGATCTTCTCAGCAGATGATTCGGATTTGCCTGTCATTTTTTTACTAAAATTGCTCCCTTTTTTTTTTTTTACTTTGGTTTTGGTTTTGGTTTTGGTTTTGGTTTTGGTTTGGCGTTGTGGTCGATGATGGATTTTGATTTCCGTCGTCACCGTGATGTGGGGGATTAGTACTAACGAGTTTTATATTTTTTGTACAGAGAGAGAGATGGCGGGGTGGGGTTAGGCGGGGGCACGCTTTGTTTTTTTAAGTTGTGTGGCTCGTGTAATTTTTACCATTTCTTTTTGGAGATTTGGGTTTTCTTTTTAATGATGTTTTGTTTGCAAAGCTGAGTCGGAACTGAGTTTAGAATTAAAAATAGTTAGGATTGTAGTGCTGTGCATTTCTTGATTTGTTTCTTTTCTCAACTTTTTCCTTTTTTGTGCCAAAGTTGCTTTGTATTTTATGGCTTTGCCCATGAATGACGACTTTAAGGATTACCCAATTCAAGCAAAAAATATTAAGTGATTGTGGTATGTACTTTGATATTATTCAGGTAGTGCATTCAATTAATGGGGGAGTGAAAAGAAAAAAAAAATTTATTAGCCAGGATTATATCTCAGTACCATCAATCCACCATTGTTAAAAAGGAGGGAGTATTTTATGTGACAAACATTGATATTGCATGTTCTTTTTTAATGGGTTCGGAGATTGAAATGCCCAAATAATCAACACTTCACCCGTGCACATAGTAGTTTCTCATGTCTTACATTTTATATAATAAATAATAATGAGAGAAGGATATACCACCTTAGTTCAACGAGGTGGCTTAGGCCTCGTTTGGGAATAGGTTTTTTTTAATAATTTTTAATTTTTAATTTTTTGGTTCAAATATGATGTAAAAAAAATTAATATATTTGTGATAATTTTTCGACTTTTTACGAAAGATGTGTAAAAAGTAGAGGGAAAATGAAATTTTTGATCTTTTGGTATAAGAAGTTGATTTTTTAGCTTTTTTAGGCCTCATTTGGTAACAGACCGGTTTAGTCAAAAAATTAAAAAGTTACTAAAAAAGTCAACAACTTATATCAAAGATTCTCTTTTCTCTTTATTTTTTACACATTTTTTCGTACAAAAATAAAAAAGTCATTCCAAATATATTAGTTTTTTAACTCATATTTTAGCCAAATAGTTAAAAAATTACTAAATTAGTCTGTTTTCAAACGAGGTCTTAGTAACTTTTTAATTAAAAAAATCACTTACCAAACAAGGTTTTAGTTATAATATAAAATAGTTTGTTGTTCAGGAAATGAGAGAAAAAGAATAAGGAGTTGTTTGGGATGACTTAAATAAATATTTTTTGTCTTTTTATGAAAAGATGTGTAAAAAAATAAAGAGATGATGTGATGAAAAAAAGATAAAAAAATAAATTATTTGAAATATGTCAAACTTAATCTAATTCTAATTCAGTGTATTTTGTGAATTTTTATTTGTCAATAGCACCTTGAACATAGTTATTTCAAAAAAATTGCTACATATTAATAGAAATATTATATAAATCATAAGACAAGTAACGCTTAAGCCTAGGAATAATTATTCATAATCCATGCGCATAACTTAAACGTATAAAGCGGGCATTTACGTGCACGCAATGGTTGAAAAACTGGCATTGTTGGAGCATCATAATTAATGGGGGTTAGGTTTATTTTAATGGTTGATTTGGAAAAGTGGATGATAGCTGTAATGCTCTTCATAATCTGGGCTATTTTGAAAAGTTGGTTTTTAGTCATTTTTTTTGGTTTGTAGTAAAAGTTAAAAGTTAGTTTTTTTACATTTTTTTCCATTTGGAAAAGTGATTTTTAGCTACTGGTAAAATTACAATTCTACCCTTTATGGGTCAAAATGTGTAACATGAGTGAAGTTATAAATATTTTAAATTAATGGGGGTAGTTTGGTCATTTTATTGTGATTTGACATCATAAATAAATATTAATTAAAAAAGCCAAAAGCAACTTTTTACCAACTTCCCAAATTATTTATCTAAAAAAGCCAAAAACTTGATTAAAAGCTAAAAAATCACTTTTTATCATCTTTCTAAAACAACCCTATGTATAAGTGTGGGTGCGCGTCCATTTGGCGAGAGGTCGTACAATGGAGTATTAGAATATCTTCAATTTGTATGTTAAATCTTATACGATATATCAATAATTAAATTTGATTCTAAAATTATTATTTGATTCTAAAATTTTACTTCACTTCGTATGTCAAATATAATATGGATTTGGCAAAGGTTGAGAGCATATCAAATCTTTTAGTTCGTGTGAAAAATAATTATAACACTTCTTTAGAAATAAAATTAAGATTTTAAGTCATATTTAAATAATAAAATATGACATATGTTGAAGAGTTTCTTATGTCAATTTGTCATCTAAATCTTTAAGTTGGAGATATTCTTTTGTCAAATAGAGAATGAGAAAATTGCATGTCATACTTTTCAAAAATAATTATAAAGTTATGAAAAAAAGTATGACTTTAATTACTAAAAATTATAAAATTTATTATAAATTTATAATTATTTTTAAAACATATCAGTGATTCGGTGTTTTCTCATAGGCTTCGTTTGTTTTCAGAAATAGAATGGAGGGGATTCATAATAAGGGGATTAATAGTGAGGGAATTGATAGTGAGGGGATTAATAGTGAGGAATTGTTAAATTATTTTTATATAAAATAATAAAACAAATAAAAAATATAAAAAATTAAACATTAATATTTTAAAAAAAATTCCCAATATATAAAAAATATAAAAAATTTTAATCCCCTCACTATTTTTCTAATACCATCTCTATCTCCTCCTTACCAATCCCCCTTCCAAGGAAACTACTAATACCAAGGGATTAATAGTTCTCTTCCCATCTCTCAAAACAAACACCCCATAAGTAATACCAAGAGATTAGTAATCTCAATCCCCTCTCTATAACCCCAAACAATCGGGGCCATAGAGAATCATCCTTTTTCGGTCTTAGGCAATTGTGCCAAATATTTTTTAATAAATAATTTTAAAATAGAATGTCTTAGGCAATTGTGCCAAATATTATTTAATAAATAATTTTAAAATAGAATTATTAATACTTGGTAGTGTCTAGAAGAGTGTGCTGGTTTTAAAAATGCAATGTATTAATTAGTTGGTTCATTATTTTTTTCATTAAATTTGAATAAAATAAGATGAGTTTCTTAATCTAATATCAACCACTCCAATGGCGTACTGTAACTTTCATCAAAACACAACGGACTTCTGAAGAAATGGCCGGTCGGTCGACCGAACAGGAAAAATGAATTTGTTTTTCCCTCTATTTCTATTTCTCCAATTTGTTTTCCGTTTCTTTTTCTCTCTATAAAATCTTTTCTATTTTTTTTGCCTCCAATAATTATTTCCTTCAAAAAATTGATATAAACAGATTAACCCATGTATCATATAAACTAGAAAAGAAGTACGTCATATCTAGAACCAACATAACTGAAACTAGAGCATAATGACTACCTCAAGTTCTTACGTGTTCACTTCATTTTCATTCTCTTCTTCTTCCTCATCCTCTGATAATGAGTTTGATGATGAAAAAATTGTCAAATTTCTGGGTGTTTATGAAATAAATAATACTAGTATGATATAGATTCTGATAGTAAGTGATTGATCAAAGAAAAGAGGCGGTTCTGTTGCAGGACATAATTACATACGCCGCGATAAATGGAAGGATCACGAACGATTGTTTCCAGATTATTTTAGGACCAATCCAGTTTATTCACCTGCAACATTTTGGAGACGTTTTAGAATGCGTCGTCCTTTGTATCTGCGAATTTTGAATGCCATTGAAGCACACGATCCATATTTTGTTTTATTTTTTTAAAAAATGCAGCTCATATCCTCGAATCATCTCCACTGTAAAAGATGATTTCAACAATGAGAATACTGTCATATGGAGTGGCAGCAAATGCAGTTGATGATTATGCACGTATTGGGGAAAGCATGACAATTAAAAGGTTGCAACACTTTTGCAATTCAATAATTGAAATCTTTGGACTTGAATACCTTAGATCTCCAACAACAATTGATATTGCTAGATTACTTGCTATTGGGGAGGTTTGTGGGTTTTTTGGTATGTTGAAAAGTTTAGATTGCATGCATTGGGAGTGAAAAAATTGTCCAACGGCATGACAAGGTCAATACGTAGGCCATCAAAAAAAGCCAACCATCATTCTTGAAGTAGTAGTTTCTTATGACTTGTGGATTTGCTATGCATTTTTTGGAATGCGTAGATCATTCAATGACTTGAATGTGTTGGATCGGTCGCCCTTATTTTCTGATCTTACCCAAGGTAAAGCTCCGCCTGTCTATTATACTATTAATGGACACACTTGTAATATGGGTTATTACCTTACTGATGGTATATACCCTCAATGGGCAACACTAGTTCAGACAATCTCTTCTCCCCAATGAGCAAAGAAACAACATTTTGCAATGATGCAAGAGTCAGCAAGGAAGGATGTAGAGCGGGCATTCGGAGTGCTCCAATCCCAATTTGCAATTGTAGGTGGTGCCATACGTTTTTGGGATCCCAAAATGCTTGATAACATAATGAAGAGTTGCATTATATTGCACAATATGATTGTCGAATATGAGAAAGATGAGCATCTTGATTTCGATTTCATCAACCAACTCACTAGTACTACTTTCATGTACTAGTAACAATGACTTCTAATCATTTATATCCCGTCATTTAGGTATTAGAGATAATAATGTATATCATGCCCTCAGCAATGATTTAATAAAATATATGTGGCATCTTCATGGTGAAAACTAACTTCACCACGTGGACGAGAACATGAACTTTAGGTTGGCTTTTTCGATTGGGAGGTGATTACGTAAAGAAGACTCTCAGTGATTGTTGTTGCTCTTAAACTTCATTTACATACATCATTATTTTTTGTTAATCAAATATTGTCAATGTTTGTTATTGGTGCTCTTCACACTGTACACATCCGTTTTTCCTAGTATTATTGGTCCGTTAACTTTGTCATTATCGAAAATAGTGTGAATTTGTTAGCAATGTACTGATGTCATAATTTACTAATGTTGTGTTCTGATATGGCTTTGGACTACTGATATGAATGCCTATAACATATACATTACTTTAGTGCATAACTACTTTTCAAATTCTATATTTACATTTATTAAATTACAAAATGACTCATAATTCTTATGTATATATATATATATATATCCACCATTTATTAAATTACAAATGAATGCCTCAAACTTTACAAATGAATTACAAAAATGATAGATAAATGAATTATATATTACAAATGAATTACCAAAGAAAATAAGAAGACAAATAAAACAACAAGTGAAGATTGAAGTTAACCAGAGCACAAAGAAAATAGAAATTGTAATAATATTGTGAAATTAAAAGATTGATAGAGTCTTATTTTATAGACCACAA